GGGGAGGAAAGGTTACCCTAGGGGCAAGGTCCTTGTTTACCCAGTTTTGCTCATGGCTAGGCACTTGGGGCTCTCTGTCCTGGTGACCTTGTGTACCTGGCCATTGTCCTTGCTCTGTGCATGTCTATCTAACCACCTACCACACTTATATCAACTGTATATAGTGGGCATTATTTTACAGATTAAAGAAAACTAGGCTCAGAAAAGTTAAATAATTTGCCCAACAGCTCAAATTAAGGAACCAAAATCGAACCTGGCTCTGATTCCAAGTCTTGTTTTTAAACACAAATCCAGAACACACATCAGAATCCCTGGGCACCTATTCAAATACCAACTCCTGGTTCGAGTGCCAGAGGTTCCAAACCAGGTGTGGCTGGGGCCTAGAAATCTGAATTCTTAACAGTCCCACTGAGTGATTCTGTTGTGGTTGTTCCCAGAGCCACACACATTTTGAGAGCGTCCCTCCTTATTGACATAATTGGATACTTCCTTTCTTTAAACACTTCCCTTGGTTGCTATGATACTTTTGTTTCTGGCTTGGCGGGCTTTCTTAGTCTGTTCTTCCTCTCCTTCTCCCTCTCCTGCCCACATCCATGCCCCTAGACTCTGCCCTTCCCCTGCCCCCCTCTGTCCCCATGAGCCCATCCACTTGCAGCCCTTCAGCTCGGGCAGATGGTTCCCAGCCTTGCCCTTCTGGTGCCAGCTTCCTGGGGAGAGTCGCAGAGCAGCATGAAATGATTTTGGAAGAGTGATGAGCTACAGCCCAGGCCTTGGACAAAACCCTGAGGCAGGTGACATTGATCCTGGTGCCCCATCACTCCACACCACCCTTGGTCTTTCCTTTTGCCCATAAGATCGTTGTGTTTTGCAGTTTTCTAATCAAATCAGTTCGGGAAAAGAGCTGATCATTTTACACAGTCACACTAATGTGGTACTTCTCCCACTCACTTGCATCTTTAAAGCCTTTTATCTCTATTTGTGGGTTCAAATTGATGTTCATGTGTTGAAGACATTTCAGGTGTCACTTAGCAGATGGGGGAACTTAGAGGGAAACTGGGACCAATGAGGAAAGAGGTTGAGCCTGTTTGGGAGAGGCCCTTGTCTTCCCCTTGAAATTTTTTGAAGCTTAGACTCGAAAGCAGCCAGAAACACCAATGGGAGAGCAGGACTTGGCCGCACTTGCTTCCTGCACACCCCGGGCGGGGATAAGCAATAACTGCAGCTGCTGCAGAACTGTCCCCAGAAGCGAGAGAGTGAGGACAGACTGTGGAGTTGGCCGATCGCTGGCTTCCTGTCACTCCCTACGCTCGGAATGGCTGGCTCCTCTTCATCTTTCAAGACTCAGCTTAAATGTTCTCTTCTGAGCAGAGCAGCCAGTCCTGACCATGCTACTTACCTGGGCTCCTCTTGGTGATTCTTTGTGTTGGCAGCTGTTTTTCTTTACTGCATTTTTCACAGTTTGTGATCATTTTACTTATTTATTTACTTATCCTTTTTGTCTCCATTTGGACAGTAAGGTTTAGGAGGACAGAGACCAGTCTGTGTTAATCCCCACTGTGCTCATAGCATAATGCCTGCTCCTAGTAGATGGTAAGTATTTGTAGCAGGAATAGCTAAGTAGCTGCCCCTCTACCACCTGGCGCTTAATGAATAGTCCTTGAGCTGAACTAAGTGTCCCCAGTAGCTATTCCAATGCTGAAAGACTTGAGGCAATTGGAGAGCAGCTGGTTCACCTCACTGCTGCGATAGGGGTGGGTGAGTGGGGCATCAGAAAAAATTATGAAAGACTTTGAAATAGGCAAAAAAGAGTATAAGGAGTCTTGTTTGGCACCCAGTTATTGAAAATTTCATTGCCTTTGAGCTATTTTACAACTTTTTAAGTTAGTATATAAAACTGATGGCAGTGCAAATGATTCTTGTCCATGGAGATGCAAATTAATTTTGCCTATACGTGTGTATTCTTTGAATTCTCCTTTGAACTGGAGGTAACATCCTGCTGGTTCCCTCATGAGTTAGTTAAATAAAATCTCTGATGTCTGTTAATTTTATATTTGTATAAGAGTCATGATTTTAGCCTTTCAAAAAATTATCTTTTTCAATTGGGCTTTTAATCAAAATCAAGAACTTTTGTGCATCAAAGGATACTATCAAAAAAGTGAAAAAACAACCTATAGAATGGGAGAAAGTATTTCCAAATCATATATCTAGAATCTACAAAGAACCAAAACCCAACCACAAAAAACAAAGAACCCAATTCAAAAATAGGCAAAGGACTTGAGTAGACAGTTCTCCAAAGATTATATAAAAATGGTCAATAAGCACATGAAAACACGCTCAGTACATTAGTTGTTAGGGAAATCCAATCAAAACTACATTGAGATACTGCTTCATATCTACTAGAATGGTAATAATAATAATAATAAAACATAAAGAACAGAAAATAACAGGTGTTGGTGAGGAAGTAGAGAAAGTAGGAATGTAAAATAGTAGCTGCTGTGGAAAACAGTTTGGTAGTTTCTCAAAAGATTAAACATAACACTCTCAGATGGCACAGCAATTATACTCCTATATATATAGCAAAAGAACTGGAAGCAAGGACTCCAACAGATGTTTGCACACCAATCTTCATAGCATCATTTTCACAATAGCCAAAAGGTGGAGACAACTTCGTGTCTATCCACAGATGGAAGGATAAGCAAAATATATGCAATGAATATTATTCAGCCCTTAAAAGGGTGTGAACAGAGACACATCAGCATGTAGTCGGTCCTCTGAGCCCTGGGGTTGACCGAGAGCGTAGGTAGAGAAGAACATGCAGGCCCAGCCCTCAGAACACCAGGAGCCTGAGAAGGCACAGACTGCGGAAGAGCCAAAACTGTGTGGTGTCGTGGAAGCCAAGACAGACTAGTGACCTTATTCCTGACATCTAGCAACTCATTGTCCAGTGACTTGGGGTCACTTCAGCTGCTGCTTAATTCTTGTCATGCGAGATGGCACCATCCAATAGAGAAATACTTCTGATCATAAACAGAATGTTTTCAAGAGCACATTTTATTGTCAGAAATTGTGCTAAATAGCATAGGATGCAGAAAGACAATGTCCAAAAACAAATCCATATTTAAGAGCAACTTTTATCTAAAAAGGATATTGCAGGGGGGAAGGGACTGTTGCAGTAGGGAGGGGGACCTGCAAGTGTCTCAAGGGTCAGGCAAATAAAGGTCTTCTTTTATAGAGACATGTGAGCAAGGCTGGAGAGAACCGAAAGTGGGGAAATGGAATGAAAGGGTGTCATGATGAGATAGCAGATCGGAGAATAGTTTATGCTGAAGCCAGTCTGTTCGCAGGAGGGGCTGTATGCTCGCTCAGGCGGAGGGTGGGAAGTCCAGGGGCTTGCAGGAAGGAAAGAAGCTTAGCCAAAGTTTGGTTAACAAGCATTTTGCTCCAATCCATCAGTGGGGATGAGTACTACAGTTCATCATTTATGAGGCAAAGAATGGGTATTTGGAGGGTCTGTGTCTAGCTTTCTCATAGGTTAAATAGGGTTCATCTGAGTCTTATCTAAGTCATGTGGGAAAGAATGGTTGTTTGCAGTAAGCCGTTTTCCAGAACACAAAATCCGGGGGATAACAATAAAGCATATCACTGAAAAAGTTCTATTTATGAATCCAAGTATTACTCTGGGTGCGGTTGCTTTTATATAGCCAAACTCCCCATCTCCTGTTACCACTGTTCCTTTAAACCCATTCAGTGATTTATGTTATCCGTGTGTGTTTATGTATGTCCATTTCCTACCACCAATTATCACCTTCAGTAGTAGGGCAACTAATCAAAGAAGTTTTACTCTCAGAGAATATGTAAATTAAGGCATCATTTAGGAAAATTGCTTGCTATTTTCGTCTAACGGCCTGACCACATAGTAATGATGACCTGTATCCTTAGACATGTGGCAGACCACTGCACTGGGTATTTATTTCACTTGACTGTACCAGCACACTCTCTACATAGTCAACTTGTGTTCATAAACTTTAAAATCATATGATATTGTCAACTCTTACTTGGTGCTTGTTTAAATTTTATAAGAGAGGGGCTCTTGGTGTCATTGGTGAATATGGCAGGCCTGGGAGGATATAACTCCCTCTCCTTTGTAGCACAGAGTTAAACTTGTGGTTGAAGCATTTTTTTTTTAAATCCTCACCTGAGGCTATGACTTCATTGATTTTTTTTTTTAGAAAGAGAGAGAGAGAGAGAGAAAGAGAGAGAGAAACATCAATTGTTGCCTTCCATACTGGCCCTGACCCAGGATCAAATCTACAACCTATATATGTGCCCTGCCGGAATTGAACCCCAAACCTTTTGGTGTACGGGGCAATGCTCCAATTAACTAAGCCACTCGCCAGTGCTGCGATTGAAGCATTTTGAACATGAACATGAACATGAACATGAAGTCCTCTGTCTCCCAAGTGTTTCCTGTCTTCCTTCTCTCAGGGTTAGGGGCCCCACCCTGGTGCTTCCATGGCCTTCTGGGACTATTCCTATCACTGCCCACAGCACTATACTGTAATGACCTACTTCTGTGTCTGGGTCCCACCTAGAACTTGAACTTTGATGGGGGGGATTATATCTTTTCCACTGACTATAGTCCTTGAGGAAGGGTCCAGAGGTACAACACTTATCAACCCTCATTAATATAGTGAGTCTCTCTACTTGCACATTTCTGAGTGAGGCGTGAAATCTTTATACCCAAGGATATTAAATGACAAAAAATAATTGCATCAGTTTTCCGGTGACATTTAGTGTTCCTGGTCTCTGCTTCCCATCTCATCTGACCTTGTAAGTGTCTCCCTATCACTTGATCACAAGGCTCTTTACCCGCGACTGCCTCAGAGAGGGGTTTTATAGACATCCTGTCTCTGTTCTTGCCTCCTGGGAGCAGGCCTAACAATGACAATTAATTCATTTGGCTAATTGGCATATTGCTGTCTTTCCACTTTGCTTCACAGTGTTCATTCACGCTCTGGCAGCCTCCTCCTGGCACTTACACAAGCAAGTGATTGACCTTTGACCAGCTTGAAAAAGATAGCTATTAGACCATATCTCTACTCATGGACTGAGGTTTACTACAGAGGATGTGGAGCTGCCCTCTGCCAGATTCTGGCTTATAAATGTACAAGAAGTGCAGGCTGACCTTGCCAAGTGTTCAAGGCCTGGGTGCTTTCAGTCCTTTGGGTGCTGACTAGAGTCTTTCTCAACACTTACAGAGCCCCCTGTCTGCCTCCATCTCAGTGCCCACAGGAAACTTATCTTTGACCATGTAAGCATTTATATGGCATAATTTCCAAAGCCCCAGGAAATCCCACCTATGCACTCCCCAACCTATTCTGTCACTTCTGAAATTGCTTTAACCACCAACACTTCCATTTACCAATTGGAGTCAAAGTCTTAAAACCTCTAGGAACCATTAAAATTTTAAACATAAACTTTTTATTGAAATATAACATACATACATAAAAATGTACAAATCATAGGTGTAAATGGACCACTCATGTAATGAATGCCAGTATAAAGAAATAGAACATTACCATGTCCCTAAAAGCACCCCACTCCCTGCCACCAGTGCCTTGTACCCACTTCCAGTCTCCTCCCATACACTCACCAGGAAAACCACTATTCTGACTGGTAACAGATAACTTTTGCTTTTGTCCTTTATATAAATGGGATCCTGTTGTATGTTTTCTTTTTCATATACAATGCTTCTTTGGTTCGGTATTACATTGATGAGATTCACCTATGCTTTTCATATAGTTGTACTTTGTTCATTTTTATTGCTGTACAGTATTCTATTGTGTGAATAAACTATAATTTGTTTAATTATTCCATGCTGATGGGCATTTGAATTGCTTCCAGTTTTTGACTTATAAATATTGCTGTCATTTATCACTAGAGCTTTCTAGTATGGGTCTTTTGATGAACATATGTACACTTTTCTGTTGTACATATGAGACATAGGATATATACGTTCAGCATTAGGAGGTACTATCAAACAACTTTTCCAAGGTGGTTGTACCAATTTACACTCCCACCAGCAGCATGTAAGATTTATAGTCATGCCATACCTTCATCTGCACTAGATTTGTCTTTTCCATTTAGCTATTCTGGTGGGTATGTGATAATGTGCATTGTGTTCTTAATTTGCATTTCTCTGATAACTAGTAAAGATGAGCACTTCATTTTATGCGCATTCGCCACTTGAATATCTTTTTTGTGAATTGTCTGTTTAAATCTCTTGCTAATTATTTTATTGGATTTATACCTTTTACTTAATAATTTTTAAAGTTCTTTTTTATATTCTGATAATGTGTTGAATATGTATACTGCAATATTTTCTCCCATCCTTTTCATTTTCTTAATAAAGTCTTTTAAATGAGTCCTTTATGCTTAGTTGTTTCCTATCTAAGAAAAATTTTCCCACTCTAAAGAAGATATCATGAAATATCATGAAGATGTTTTACTTGAAATTTACTTTTGTGTGTGGTGTGAGGTAGGAATCAAGATTTTTTTTTTTTTACTGTATTATTCTATTGACCCAGAACTATTTATTGAAAAGTTCATACTTAAATCTATGCCATTAATCATGGGATATATATCCATATATGTATGGATCCATTTCTGGACTATATTCAAGAAGCAATTAATTGTTAAACTTATTCTCAAGAAAGAATGCCTGTAATCTGATTCTTTCCTCAAGTAGCATTTATTACATATTTGTTATGAACTAAGCATTTTATCTGCATCATTTCATTTTAAACCTTATCAAACCCAGTTAGATAGGTACTACTACTACTATCTCCATTTTATAGATAAGGAAATTAAGATTCAGAGAATTAAATAACTTTCCCCAAATCTCCTAGCTAATAAGTATCAGAAACCTGATTTGAATGCAGGTCTGGCTGACGTTGAAGTGTGTCTCTTTATTATACTGTTTAGAGCAGCTCCTTTGGTGGGGAGGCAATAAAGATGTGTGGAGGGGAGGGTAATGGAGAAGAGTGGGGACCAACTTTCCTTACCTCCACCATACACCTATTAGAGTATTTTGTTGCTTTATTTCAGTTACTCAGTCTTGGTGCACATTTAAATTTTCACATTAATTGAAATAACCCATTTCACAGATTGGGAACCACAGGTTCGTGCCATTTACTAGGAACTTGGCATATGATAGAATATATTGTTGTTATCATTCTATGTATTCTTTCTTTCTTACTAGTCAACTTTCAAGAGTAAGGAGTGGCTTTTACATATTTCTAATTTTGATGACTAAGGACACTGCTCTGCCCAGAGCAGGCACTTAAAAAAAAATTTGTGTTTTTTATAGTTGTTGAGCTGTAATTGCTAACTTGAGATTTCCTGATCAAGTAGGTTTTGTATCCTGTATTAATTGTTTTTAGTTCAGATCATGTGATCGATTCCCAGTATCTATTTTCTTTCTTTCAATAACTTCTGTCTCAAAGGGGAAAATGCGGATCTGTGAGTGAGTCGTCTGGTAGCTAAAGATCTGAGCTTCTTAAAATGTTAGAACCAGGAGCTACTTCCCATACAATTTGATGAGTTAAAAAGGAAGAGAGAAAGAGAGACTAAAATTGACACACAGAGAGAAACAGAGAGAGAGAGACAGAGAGAAAACTGGGTCTTGTTCTAGACCCTCACCAGGTCTGTGGCTTTAAGTTCTGTGCTTCTCTTTCTCATGTGCAGAACAGGGCTAATAACACAGCAGTACAGGCTTGTTGTAAGATAAAATGAAGCAACAAACAAAAATATACTAAGAATTAGATAAAAGTGCTATTAAGTGTCAAATATTGGTAGAAAGTAAATTGAATACCAGGTACAGGTGTGCTTGATTTTATTGATAAGTAAAAGAACTAAATATATATTTTTAGAATTTACAGTAATTTAACTTACAGATTAAATGTAAAGATCACAGTCACTGCATTGGGTAAAGCAGGATATATCTATAATTTATTGTCAGAGGTAGAAGGGGGCTTGGACCAATAAGGATACCGTTATCTACTGTGTAGTGTGAAAGATAAAATGAGTGTGTATTAAGTGCCATGGTTTTCTCTAAAATCAGTGGTGGGCCAGTTCAATTCAGCAAATATTTAATTAGTGCTAGTGTTTTCCAAGGAACCGTGTTGGGCACTGAGGAGGAAGCAAAGATAAACAGCATCAGCCAGAGGGGGACAAGACTATTAGCCCAGTCACTAGGCTGCAAAGGAGAATGAAGCATCATCATGCGGAGAAGGTAAAACACATGAGCACCTGGCGGAGCTTAGAATAGTTTCTTTTCCTTCCTGCGTTTCTCCTTCCCTCCCTTCCCCCCCCCTTTTTTTTTCTTTTTTCTTTTCGTTTCTTTTCTTTTTTCTTTTTTTTGAAAGGCACTATCTTGGATCTCTTTTCACGCGTGCGGCCGCCCGTCTGCAGGGGATCCGCAGCCCTGTACAATCCCCCGCTCCCTACTCTCCCTTGCCTCACATTTTTGATGAGCTCGCCTCTGCCACCAGCACTGCATTTGGAATGGTGTCTATTGTGTGGGTGGTAACACGAAGGGAAGTTATTTTTGTTCTAATGATGGGAACGGTTTCGTTGGGCGCGGGGTGCGCGGGGGGAGCGGGTAGGGAGGAAGGAAAACAGACCTGCGGCCGCCGCGCCCCGCGAGGGTGCTCCAGGAGGCGTTACTAAGGTTACTAGAAGGAGGACGCCAGATGGCATTTAGGCAGGGCTTTTTCTAAAACAAAACATAATTTCAAATGAGGCGTGCGTACTGAGCGTGTGTGCCACATTATTAGATGAGGGGCTCCCGAGACAGAAGGGACAGAGGCTCCGGCTAACACAAGGGCCGCGGCTCTAGAAAGCACGCAGCCTCTGCCTCCCTCCCGGCCCTGTTCTCCTGCCGCCTTTGTTTCCCGGGAATGTTCTGGCAGTAGCACAAGTTCGGCGCTCCCGGGGACGGTGCCATTTAGGTGTGACGCGGGGCCGAGCCGGACCGGAAGCAGCGCCTCGCGGGGACCCGTAGGGAGAGGCGGGGAGCGGGTGACGGAGGCGGTGGTGGCGGCGGCTGCGGCGGAGTCTCGGGGCCTCCGCGGACGGCGGCGGCCTTGCAGCGGCTCGTTCAGGCCGTGGGT